TATATATATATATCAGACATCAATCTCAAGTTGTTCTTGTGAAATGTCTTCTGTTCAAGAACAACAAACCCATCTAGGACAGAACTTATCTCCAAGCCCACAGCTAAAGAATATATACATAATGCCAAACTATTACAGTTATTTATTTTTATATTGTCATAGTGATTTAATTTAAACTCATTTTTTTAACTCAAACAGTTGAAATGATTATTTTTATCATTTCTGTTGGTTTTGACCCGCTCAGACCTGCAGGGACGAGTGTTTAGAAACTCTACAGTTTTTGATGTTGTGGCACTTTGTGTGCTCACAGCTCCCAGTAACTTGATCACTTTTAAACAAGACAACTATATGAAAAAGCCTCCTGGGACAAGCGTCATGGTTCTTGTTCTGTGTTCGTCCTTGAGGGAAATCTTGCTACGATTGCAAAGCAGATATTTGCGTGTTAGATTTTGTCTTTTTGTTGTTGTTGTTGTTGGTATTTGAAGGATTTGATGAGGTGCGTTGTTCTGAATTACTTTCAAAGAAAATAAAATGTTTCCTTTTCACCGTCCATGGCAGCACCCGATCCAGTGGAGCACTTTTGGTTGTTTCTTTTCAAACAAAGCTGCGTCTTCAACACATCCCAGGAAACCCACAGGTAGAAAATAGAAAATAAATCCTGCTGCACCTAGTTTTTATCAGTCTCAGGGACTCACTGGATCATGCAGTTTATTGATTTTGCTAAACAAACATGTCACATAATCTGTGTTAATTGATCATCAACATTTTAAGTAGTTTCATCTGAACCTTGAACCGCTGCTGCTTCAAAGAAGGAACTAAACTTTTTTGCAACTTCACAGTTCAGTGAAGAAAGTTTGCTTTTAACAAATGAGGAGTGACAAGTCAGCAGATGACTTTTCAGAAATGATGCATGCAAATGATCCAGAATTTAATTTATTCATTAAATGAACAACAACAAAAAAGCAGAACAGAAAAAGCTTGATTTGAGTTTTAAAGAGAAATACTTTGAATTAATCTGAGCTTTGACTTGATAATCACCAGGTTTGATTTAAAACTCGTGTTTTTGCAGCCACATCAAAGACTGTCTGGATGACAAGCAGGAAGTGAAAGTCGAAGGAGATGCACAGACGTGAACCGAATGCCCCCRGTCCGTGAAAACGTCCCACCGCTTATTTTTTTTGTTTGTTTCACGCAGGAAGTTCAGAGAGGGAAGAGAAGTGGCGTCTGACCAAACATGGCAGCGCAACACCAGACATGATGACTGTGCARGCCGCTCCCATCGATCCTTATGCACAGTTTTCACAACCGTAAACAGTTTTCCTTCTGCTACAACTTCACTGCAAAAAATGTCCACCTAACCAAGTTTTAAAACCTTATATCAGCCAAAAAGTCTTTTTGATCTTGTTTTGAGACTGATTTACTAAACAAGAACTGATTGTGTAAGAATAATAATCTTGTTTTCAGAATGTGTAAGATTATTTGTCTTGTTAGTCTGAAAATTTGACTCAAATTAAGTCAAAAGTTTCTGCCAATGGAGTAAGAAAATTTTACTTGGTAAGATTCTTAAAATACTTGATTTGACTCATTTTTTTTTCTTATTTCAAGAATCTTACCAAGTAAAATTTTCTTACTCCACTGGCAGAAACGTTTGACTTAATTTGAGTCAAATTTTCAGACTAACAAGACAAATAATCTTACACATTCTGAAAACAGGATTATTATTATTCTTACACAATCAGTTCTTGTTTAGTAAATCAGTCTCAAAACAAGATCAAAAAGACTTTTTGGCTGAATATAAGATTTTAAAATTTGGTAAGATGGACAGTTTTTGCAGTGTTCAACTTTTAGGAGCAGGTGATAAAGTTAAACTTAAATCTGCAGTCGTATCAAACTAAACKCTTCTGTTTGATACGACTGGAAAACTATTATTTGTGTTTAAAGTCAGACAGCTCAGTTAAACTGTTTGATTTGCTTCACATATTTTGTGTCTTTGCTTTCCCAAATGATTACACAATGTTCCTAAAAATAATTCTTATTTTAGTTAAACAGAAGGCCTTTTTTTTAGATATCACCTTCTTGAAAGGGCCTGCTGCAGTGACTCATCTAAAAAAGTGTGAATTCGCTAATGAATAAATGTTGTTTACAGAGGAACAGAGGAAAGATGGGTCTTCCTGATTGACGTTTAAGAGCATGTCGACCTTTCACCTTTGCAGTACTTGCAAAAGTTCATGAAGCAATTTAACCGACTTGTACTGTAGTTACACCACAGTGAAGCTCCTGTAAACACCGAGGTTTGATCTGTTTTACTCCCACGTTACACCTTCCAGTTCCATCACATAAATAATGATTCAAAAAAAAAACCATTTAGCTGAATTTTCCAACTCATGACCAAACCTCTCAGCTATTTATTACAGGTTTCTATTTAAAGCATCTGTTGTTCCTTATATAAGCAGATTGATGCTTTTTAAAACATCTATCAGCACTTTTAGAGCTCACGTCTTATTTGTTTAATCCACACAAGGAAATAAAAGCCAAAGCGAAGCAGCTGCAGCCTCAGGCTGAGATATTTTACTGCCAGAACAAGAGGCGGAGTGAACACATTTGATACTTAGAAACTTATTTTACAAAGAACAAGGAACCTGCTGCTCGCAGCGAGTGTTGCAAAAAACACGAGCCAGGATTATGTGATGCTGGGGAGCGAAAGGTTGAAGCCATTTTGCACAAAAGATTTAAACACTTAGCTGAAAATGATCCTGGGTGAACTGTAAAATTCTGTTAGTTGAACTCAAACAATTTGAGGAAACCGATTGCCTTAAATGGTTTAAGTCTACTAACCTAAATAATTAAGTGGAAAAAATATATATATTCAAGTACATGTAACTTGAATATTTTTATTAAGGTACCATGGGTAAATAAATTTTAAAACACCATTTCATTCAGTAAACTGGACTTAAAACYAACAAGTATTTTACACTCATACATATTATTACTTTTAACTGATTTAAAACATGTTGATTGTACTCATCTGTTTTGAGTCAGAGCAACTTGGTGGTAAAATTTATTTAAAGATGATCCAATTTAACTTAAGTTACTCTTTTATTCCTCTAAATGAAATTATAACATTCTAGTTGTCACAATGTCTAGCTACTCAATCAATTTGATGAAACCGATTGCCTTAAATGGTTTAAGTTTATTAATTTAAACAATTAAGTGGAAATATATATAAATATTTAAGTGCATGTAATTTGAGCAGAAAATGGAGTAAAGTTGATTTGAGCATGCCCAGAATGTTAGGCGTTAACTCTTTACAATCCAAAATCCCCACTACTTTTCAATACTTAACTTTTTTTGAGTGGACTTTACTTAAATATATTAAGTTATCAAGCATTTTCTATCCAAATGTTCACATCACGTAGTTAAGATGAGTATAACGAACAAGTTGGTGAAATTTAAGTTAGCATAACTTGAAATTTTTAGTAAGCAGAGTGTTGTGTTTTAATCACATAGTTGTGTAAATGCTGAGTCTGCATTTAAATGATTGTTTTCTTTGTAGTTGTTATTTTAGCTAGCCAAACATCAAAACATTTAGCTTTTAGCTTGCATCCTGTTAAAGTTTAGCTTTCAGTTTTGCAGACTTTAGCTTTAGTGTTTTGCTTGTTTTAACTTGAACAAAAGCAGTTTTAGCTTCTTGCTCGTGCTGCTTTTTCACCGAAAATATGATTTCTTTATAAGTGCAGTCATTTAAAACAAATTTTAAAAAGTGCTGTATTGGAATAAATCTGACTCGAGTAGAAACACCTGCTGTCAGCGGTCGACAAGTGCATTAACAGCAACTCACAACTGTCTGTGTGAGACCGAGGAAAACAAGTGTGTCACAACAGCTTCCTGCCACATCCGAGCTGTTTGGTGGAAACAGAGGCTTGTGTACATATAAGGCAACAGAAGACAGGATGGCACGGGCCAAGCTGAAGTCAAGCAAGATGTTTGTGTTTGCAGAAAGGGTACCAAACCCCTAATATGGTATCTAATCTATGTGTTGTTTTTACCAGGAAAATGTTGGCCTCGTTGCATCCAAATAAATAGTTCAGAAAATAACTTCCTTCACTCCAACATTAACTTTAAGTCTTCTTACAGCAGCTGTACTAGAGCAACAGGAAGTGGGTTAGCGTGCAACGCTTTGATAAGCCGAAGCGGGGGGGGGGGAGCTGTCTGGTAGCAGCAGCTCTGAATGTTAGGATCACTTCTACAGGAAGCCCAATGTTCTCACTGTTAATCGTTACAAAACCTCCTCGTCCACCGGTCGTAACCGCAGACAACACCCTCTCTGTTTCTGCTTATCATTCATGGAAGTGAGCCTTTCACAGGTCTAAAATAAAACTAATTAAACACAGTGTTTATGATGCTTAGAACAATAATTTAAAGAGCTTTAAAGGGATCCGTGATTAGTTGTAACATTAGACTTTATTTGATAAACATGTATTTTAACTGTGAAATAAAGACTGTAAAAATATTGTAGGCTGTTTAGTTTTGTAAATTATTTTAAATATATTTTAACACGGACGGAGCCATTTTATTTACACGCAAAGCATTCTGGGTAAATGATGACGTGGATAGGTCCGCGGTGCGAGGCTGCTAGCGAGCTATATCCACCCTGAGGAGAAGGTAGAAATGACTCAGCCTGGAACTGAGAATATGGGTGGAGGACAACAGAGCTGCTTCATGGAAGAAGAACCTCAGCTTAGCCTGGTAGCTTTAGCGTAGACGCTATATTGACTTTATATGTATTAGCTCAGCGCTAGCGCGACAAACTAACAAGCTAAACCGAGGTCCTCCATCCATATTTTCAGTTGCAGGATGAGTCATTTTTGTGTTCCCCCCTCTGTCATGTGGATGGAGGACCTCAGTGACGAGAGGAGAATGTGTAGCACTGAGCTAATACGTATATATATGGCGATAGCGTTGGGGCTAACGCTAAAGCTAACAGGCTAAGCTGAGGTTCTTCTTCCATGAAGCAGCTCTGTTGTCCTCCATCCATATTTTCAGTTACAGGCTGAGACCTTTCTACCTTCTCCTCTTGTTGCAAAAAAAATTCAGTAGTTTTAACATTATACTGTTTGTTTTCCAAATAAAGCTTAAATATGCTGTATGTAAACTTACAGTTTAATGGTTTTTAGATTAGATTAWATATGTTACAGATGACATCTTAATAATAGACCCACAGTAAAACTGGGCCTTCAGTTTTCTCTGTATCTGCAGCTCTGCTAACAGCTCCAGCTAAACTCTTACATAACAGGCTTTTAACAAAGTCTGCAGTGGACTTTGTCCTGCCTCCTGAACAGAAGCTGCTCAGGTTCCTCTGTGGAAGCTGCCGTGTTTCTGTTTAAACCTCATTTATGTAATAAATACAACAACGTGATCCTAAAGTTCACTGCAGCAGCATTCACACGACTGTGATCTTGTTCCTCTTCACTCAGAAGAGGATGATCCACGCAGAGCGACCTGCAGCTCAGCTCTGGACCTGATCCTCTCTCCCTGGGGTGCAGAGAGGCAGATGGAGCAGGTGGAAGCTGGTGGGGGGGTCAGACACAGATACCGAGAAAGAGGCAAAACATGAAGGAATATTGATCAAGCTGAGGTTCTCTTGCTGTAATCTGATCAGGTGGAAAGGTTGTGATGGTTGATTGTCAGCAGTTCTGTTAGTGAATGCTGACTCAGCAATATTTTCCTGATGTTTGAATGTAGGTGTAACTGCTTCAGCATATATTCAGCTGTTTTATCCACTCATGTATCAAAAGGTTCAGCTCGTTTAGGACATTACAGCTGTGACTTTTGGTATTTGTGACTTTTAGTTTTTTATTTAACTTCAAAAAAACGAATTTAAATAAACTAAAAGCTCTTCAAAGCCTTGAAAGAATTTGTGCTCTTTCAGCATACTAGTTTCATGTTTAGCTTTTAGCTACTGTGCTGCTAAGTTTAGCGTTTAGCTATTGTTTTGCAAAATACKATTGTAGTTATTTTCAGGTTTTAGCTGGTCTTACCTTTACCTTTTATTTTAGCTACATTTTTGCTGGTTTGAACTTAAAGTTATTGTTAAATTTAATATATTATATATTTATGTATAAAATATTGTTAAATTTAATTTAGTTTATCTTATAGGTATTAGTTGGTCTTTACTTTTAGCTACTGTTTTTAGGTTTTAGTTGCTGTTTTGCTAATTTGGACTTTTAGCTACTGTTTTGCTACATTTATGTTAATCTCATATTTTAGGGTTTTGGCTGGTCATACATTTTAGCTACTGTTTTTTGTTGCTGGTTTGCTATTTTTTGATTTTATCTACTGATTTGCTAAATTGAAGTTATTCTCTTAGTTTAAGGTTGTAGCTGGTATTACCTTTTAGCTATTGTATTTAGTTGATGTTTTGTAAATTTTTTTATTTTAGCTAAATTTTTGCCAATTTGAACTTAAAGTTATTGTTTGCTAGACCTTTAGCTACTGTTTTGCTAAATTTAATTTAAGTTATTCTCATAGTTTATGGGTTTAGCTYGTCTTACCTTTTAGTTACTGTTTTTAGTTTTTAGTTACTGTTTTGCTATTTTGCGATTTTAGCTCCAATTTTGCTGGTTTAAATTTAAAGTTATTGTTCAGCTCCTATTCTTTTAGCTGTATCTTTAAGCTATTGTTCTCTTTAGTCTGCAGCTTTTGTTTTCCCAGCTTTAGCTTTTGTTTAGATTGTTTTTGAACTCGACTAAGTCAGTTTCAGCTGCTTTAGTAGCTTTCAGCGAAGTCACGCATTATTCACAACAGCGTGTTAAATATGACAGGAGGGCTTCCACGTGCTTTAACACCGTTCTGTTTTTCTTCCAGGACACCAGAAACAACTCTGAAGACAAACCTGTCCAACGATCTAAGGTAAAAAAATAGATTTTCATGCTCACTTTCATCAACCTTTGATCTCACAAGAAAGCAAACAGCAAGTAAATACTAATAATTTACCGTATTCTCTCTTTTCTTTAAAACGTAGTTAAATCCAGCTGTTTGATCGCCAGTCTGTTAATCAACTGTTTTCTGTGTTCAGTCCTTCAGCTTTAAGACGCCTAAGGAAGTGTGTTCATCCTGTGAGAAGACGGTCTACCCCATGGAGAGATTGGTCGCAGACAACCTGGTCTTCCATTCCACGTGTTTCTGCTGCAAACACTGCAAAGCCAAACTCAGGTGAACACGTTGTCCTTTGAGTTCTCCAGCTAGTGTTTCCTCTTCTGTACGTAACTCCGTGTTTCCCCGCAGCTTGGGCAGCTTCGCAGCGCTTCAAGGCGAGTTTTACTGCAAGCCCCACTTCCAGCAGCTTTTCAAAAGCAAAGGCAACTACGACGAGGGCTTCGGACGCAAGCAGCACAAAGAGCTCTGGGCCTCCAAGGAGACAGATAATATAACCAAGTCGCCGTAGACACGTCTGATTGTGTCCCCCCCAGAGATCTGCTTCTTCCTTTCACTCCCTCAGCAGATTACAACACATTCCTCCTATGCTGGGGCGCACACACACACACTCCGCTCACACGCTTCTTAAACACCACATCCAGACATGATCACGTTTTTAACGTGCGTTCAGTTTAGTTTTCCTTCATTTTCTTTGGTAACTGATTGTGACCAAAAGCCTTGCCTGCTACAGGGAGTGTATAAAAACAGAATAATAATTTTATTTTTCGAACCATAAACGTCATTTGCACCATTTTGTTTTCTTTTTGTTGTGGACTACTTTGACTGCACACTCAGGCGAACCTTTCACGCAGAGTTTCGGTGCATCATTGTTTGCAGCAGAGCATGCACTCAGGTCAGTTTTTACAACAGAACACAGCGATGGTTTTCACGTGTATGCTGTCAGACGAGCCGGTCTGTGAACAAACAGGGTACAGAGTACTGTATAATAACCGTGCACATGGACAACAGCTCACCTCGTGTTTTTTTGCCGTTCCTTTTCTCGTCCCACGGTCCTTTTCCCCTCCGAACGTCCACCCTCWGTCTCGCCCTTGCATGTCTGGTCTCAGAAACTTTATCTGTGCATAGCTCTGTGGATTGTGATATTTCCCACTTCACCCTTAACTTTGCACAAGTAACTATTCGACAGAAAACCGAGGCTTCGTCTTGAATCGTTGAACTGTAAACATGAAGTTTCATTCCGTTGTTGTGGAGTTTATTTCCCCCAGATTTTCAGCCGTTCAGGTTAATCCTAAATGCTGGAAAAATAAWAGTCACCTGGACTTGTGAGTTTAAGGCGAATCAGACAGAAAGTAATGGCCGCCACAGCTCAGCAGCTGTCAGTTTTACAGATGTTGACACATAATCTGAGCGCTAACATCTCACACGATTTAGCCAAAATGGCTACAACTCTTGTCATTTCTCAACATAGAATGATTTTAGTTTAAATCTTTGGCTTGAACTGCAGCAGGCGATAGGCATTATGATTTTTATAAGATGGTAATATGAATAACGTGTCCAATCATCCCTCTTAGTTCTATCCTCTTTTAAATTAARGCCTTTTTTGTGTTATTAGCTTCACGCAGCTTAGCGAGTGGACCTATTCTTGTTACTAAAACGTTAGTTTTCTAATCGGTGGCTGGGTCATTGGTCCCCTGACGTGTGCCTGCAGGTTGCGTGTAAAAACCCAGCACACAGCGCCCCCTGCTGGAGGAAGTGTGAATTCATTCGCTCGTCAACTCAACATGGCCTTTTTTTTTTTTAAATGTGTTGCCTCAGTCTTCAGTGCAGCTGCTGCACATCGACTGCTCTTCATCCTCTTTAATTGTAAAACAAAAAKTAAATAAATAAAATCCACTTTTTATTTCTTTGAACACAGTCTTAAGCCATTAAAATATCTCATTTTATAAAAAAAAATGTGGGAATATTTCAGACACTTGAATGACATGATTGCGACTGAAGGTTTACTGTGAATTTGAGCATGCTGTGCAGAAGAAGATGTGTGTTTTTTCCTTTATAAACCTTAGAAATATATAGCTCACCTTATTATGTGTTGTCATCCAGGTCTTTTCTGTTTGGACGGGTTTGGAAACCAACCTCTTCACCTTGGAGTCTCTGTGTTTCTTCACATGTAAAATAATCCTTTGTTTGTAATTTTAACTATAAAATCGTCCTCTTGATCACACTTTAACATCAAGACAATTGTATTAATATTACTGTTTTTGTCGTTCTCCACCGTTTGCCAAGGTACAACAATGAAATCTGTGAATTTGCATATTTTTAGTGACAAAGCAGACAAGGTACACTTCACCTTGGGCCTCGAGGCTCATGTGAAGGATTGTAATGTTTTAATGTTAAATCTGTGAGTCATTACATGCCTGTGATAAACTTAACGTGGAATTCCCTTTTAGTGCTGTTGTCACCGAGACATTATAAATGTATGCAAATCTGAAGGTGTATTCTGTGGATCGAGGCGGACTTACAGCACAATAAGGCTGAAATCCTCCCATGTCTGTTTGTTAGTTGTGCTATGAAACGTAAGAGCCCCCATCTGTACATCAATACACACAATCATTTTTTTACTTTTTGTTTTTACATGCTTTTGAAAAAATAAAATAAAATGCTGGTMTTGACTTGGTGCAGTGATTTTGGGTTTTGTTCATTGTGCAAATGGAAAATTATTAAATTTGCGATCAAAAACATGTGGCCTGAAGTTCTCAAAATGCCATTTTACAACAATAACAGCAACAATTCATGCATGGTTTGTTGTTTGGTTTTTCCTTTTCCTAAAGTGTGTCCCAGATCAACTCTCTGTCAAACCTCATGTTTTATCTTCAACCTCGTGGACTCCTCTGCTTCCACACGTTTGTCTTCAACCACCTCAGGAGATGCCTCTGCCTCCTCCCACTTTTCTGTYTCTAGAAGTCAGGTGAAGAGGCAGCTAGAGAGACCAAACTGGAACAAGGCTGCAGGTCCAGACGGTGTCAGCCCCAGAGTCCTGTGCAGATCAGCTCTGTGGGGTTCTGCAACACCTCTTCATCCTTAGCTTGACCCAAGAGAAGGTTCCAGTGCTGTGGAAGACATCCTGTCTGGTTCCGGAGCCCTCAACGACTACCTGTTGCCCTGACGTCACACATCATGAAGGTCCTAGAGCAGGGCTGTTCAACTGGTGGCCCACGGGCTGGACGTGGCCCATGAGTGACCAAAGTTCGGCCCGCCCATTGGTTCATTCATTTCTTAAACCCATACCCCCAGTTTTCTAATTACTCTAAGTTCTTTTAGTTAGACATATGTAGACATGTTTGGTATCAGCAGAAATCAACAACAAATGTCAGAATCTTGGCTAGATGCTGGTAAAAATCATTTCTATGAACATTCAAGACAGTTAAAGGGTCTGTGACATGCCTATCCTTCAAATACAAAAAGTCAAAGAAAGCAACTTTATATCTAAGAAAATTAGCATAATACACATGATTTTACCCATTTTGTCTCATAACTAGCATTTTTTCTCTCGAATTTAGCTCAGCAAAGTGAAACAAGAAGTGACATCAAAGGAGAACTCTTTAAGAAAAGAAACTGTCTAGCTGTTGTTTATCGCAACAATTTATTTAAACTCTTCATCTCTCTGATAGTGACTCAAAAATATTCTAAAGAAACATCAGATTCTTCTCTAATTATTGTAGRGTCACTCTGTTTACATGCACATTCCCTTTTGACATCACTTCCTGTTTGTTTACATGCAAATATCTTAACGAACATTAGTCACAGCAGCGTAAAATTTGTTTTGCAAAATGTTTTCAATGCACTCTTTCCAAAAATGCATTCACATTTATTACAAAAATTTCATGCCACAGGCACTTTAAAACTACATTTGAAGATAAAATTATGAAAGTGAAAATGAAATTGGTTTAAAAGTTCGGGTCAGAGATGTCAAAATAATGTGCGTTAAATAGGAGGCATCATGTGTTATTTTGACATTGTTTTATTTTCACTACTTTTATTATAGGGTTCTGTATGTTGTATTCATGGTTAAATGCAGCAAAAATAAATTGATGATCGGCCCCTGAGCTGTGCACCTGCAGCAGTTGCCCTAACCCTAACTGCAACCCTGTCCTGGAGAGACTCCAGTTGATCAGGACCCCCTGCAGTTTGCTCATGTTGGAGTTGAAGACGCCATTAAAGGCCTACACCTGCTTCAAACCCACTGTTAACTGGACAAAGCAGGCCAACACTGTGAGGATCATGTTCTTTGATTTCTCCAGTGCATTTAAAACAYTTCAGTCTGATTTCAGCAAATGTGACCCAAACAAAAAGTTGTCTACGCCAGTGGTTCCCAAACTTTTTATCTTCTGACCCACAAAATATCCCCGGCAAAAACTTGTGACCCCAAATATTACTGATCTGAGTACATGGACTTCGTTAATAGCCCTAAAAACGCAGGCTTTTTGGCAATCTAAACAGCTTATACACAAATATAAATACTTATTTTTACTTATTTTGTGTTTTTGTAATAAATGTAGGGAAAATATTACATCAGCAATTATTTTATTACCCTTTAAARTGATTTCTGGAGATTATCCAAGGTGCTTCATGACCCATAATTGGGTCCCAAGCCCAACTTTGGGAACCAAAGTCAGCACCGTGAGACTAAATTCAAATTTTCTGTACTCCTAGAGACTCCAAATACGCAAAGAAATTCATTTAACAGCTACAAAAAATTGGATTTTGCCATGTATATATATAAAACAACAAAACACTTGATTATTCGTTTTTCATCGCTTTGTTTGGAAAAGCTAAAGGGAAACCCGCATGAGTTTCCCATTTTCCGATAATTTTGAACGCCTCCCCGACGTCACAGACGCCCCGCCCCCTCTAATAACCAGCGCGAGCCCGCAGAAAAGTCCTCTACCGTGTAACAGCGCGTGCCCGCGGCTTCACGGCGATAATTTAGCTCGTTTACCAACTAGAAACACCCCTTTCCTCCTCCTCTACGGGAGTTATTCCATGTTATTACAAACTTGTGGACACACGACGAACAAGCGTTTGGGGAAACATTGGACGCCTCCATGGCGGCGAGAAGTTTTCACGATTCGCTGGAAGAAGAAGAAACGCGGGTTCCGGTGGCGATTTTGTTTTGTCAGGAAGTTTGACGCACTCGGTCGGAGACAGTTTCTTGTGCTTTGTTTTGGTTTTGTAAAGCTGCAGGCGTACAGCTGGCTCCGTGCGGCGACTTTATTACTGTCTTATGAACCAAAGCACCGGGACTTTATAGTTTATTTTGTCAAAGTGTAGCTTGCTTGCGCAGTTTGCAAAGTTTGCAGCTTTGCGGAGTTTTTCCAGGGACTTCATTCACCTCAGATTCGCTGACATAAACTCAAACTGTTACTTAAAATACTTTTAATGTGTATTCTAGTATTATTTTCTTATTGTATTGTGTTTTAGTAAAAACATATTGTCGAGATTAATTAAAATCCCAACATTCGAGACGGTCCCTGAACTACTCACATGAGTTTTATTAGTATCTTAATTCAGACCACGCAGTTTTCCACAAAGATTATTTTTGGGGCAAAACCTGGCAGTAAAAATCTGCAAAGTTGGCAGGAAAACAACCCATTAAATTGACATAATTCAGACAGTGTGGAGTCTGGAGATGATTTCATCACCTTGTTTTGGTAGATTTGTCTGTATTAAGATGAGACTCTCTGTCAGGAAAGCCTGAAAACATCCAGTGGGACTTTTTATCTAAACATGTTTTGGAAATGTGAGTTTTCCACAGATCCCAGGCTGCAGCTGCGCAGACGTTTAGGCCCCAGCTGCAGCAGTCYGATGTAGGATTTTCCACAGGAACATTTGGAGCTCACAACCTTTCTGACTTTTTTTTTTTTATCACCTGGAAAGACTTTGTTGTTGGCTTTGAATCTTCCGGGAAAGCCCCCCGATCCCTGGGGGGTTAGCCCCTTCCATCATCCATGGTGGTGTTTTTTCTACCAGACCTTCTCTCCATGGACCACAGCAGCAGATCTGCCAGGTGAGACGTTCACGCAACACAGGTACTTCACTTTAATGTACACACCCTTATAGGTATAGATAGTGACAAATCACAACAAAAGTAATCTTAAGGCAAATAAAAACAACTCGGTTCAAATCCAGTTATAGTTCAATTAATGTGGCGACAGTGGGAAGGAATGACTGCTTTGTGACAGGAAGGAACCGCCATCAAAACCCGGATCAGGGCGAGCTGCCAATGCCTGCAACAGAACTCCTTAGGGCTGTCTTTACTCCAACATCAGCTCTTTTTAAAACTGTAATTATTAGCTAACACGGTTAGCCCTACCTGTGTGTTAGCAAAATATGTGATGAACCACAAGACGTTTAAAGGCACAGCGTGTAGGATTTTGTCAATTCTTTTAGCTGAAATTGAGATAATCACTAATG